GCAGCCGCAGCCCTGGCACAGACAGAGGTCTCTCGGCGCTTTTCCAGGGCAGAAGTGAGGCCCGCGGGCCAGGCCGGCACATCCCAGCAGCCAGCTATATCTGCAGGCCCTCCCCACCACTGTCTCTCAGAACCGATGGCCTGTGGAGCGGGGAGCACACAGACTCTGCCCTGTTCTGCAGCCCACACTGCCTCCCCAGTCCCAGTAGGGTTTGGACCCTCCTGAAGACCAGGCTCTCAATACACGTTATCCCGTGTCCACCTCCAGAAAGCTGGGGGCAGCCATGGTTAGGTCTCCATTGATGAGGAAGCAGGGAGGCCCGGGGGCACTGCCTGGGGAGGCAGGTGGCCGCAGGTGGAGACAGGCTAGAGGCTTCGCTCCTGGCCTCCCAGCCTGTGCCCCCCACCCCAGAAGGTTCCACCTGCCATGTGGGAGTGAGTATGGCCCTCACTCGCCCATCTGACTGGGGGCAGCCATGGTTAGGTCTCCATTGATGAGGAAGCAGGGAGGCCCGGGGGCACTGCCTGGGGAGGCAGGTGGCCGCAGGTGGAGACAGGCCAGAGGCTTCGCTCCTGGCCTCCCAGCCTGTGCCCCCCACCCCAGAAGGTTCCACCTGCCATGTGGGAGTGAGTATGGCCCTCACTCGCCCATCTGTCTGTCCCCCCAGAGGAGAGGCGGGCCAGGGAGTGGCCGCTGGACGTCGCCGAGCTTCCTGAGGTCCGCCTGGAGGACTGGCTGGAGAAGCGAGCCAAGCGGATGAGCTCCGCCCCAAGCAGCAGGTATGGCCCCGTGGTCCTGCCTCCGCGCCCTCCAGGAGCAGGACCCCAGCCAGCTCGCCCTTGCCACCACCAACTGCCCAAGGACCAGACACGGATGCCCACGTCGGACTCCCCAGGGGGGCCACATCGGGGCTCTCGGCCCCCAGGCCTGGCCAGAGGCTGACGGGCACTTGCTTGTAGGTTCCCGTGCCTGGCCTTGTGCCCAGCCTTGGTGTCTCCCCCTTATGGTAGTTTGCCCTGGCTGAAGGCGGACAGGTGGCCAAGGCAGCTTGACTCCACATCACTCAGTGTCCCTCCCCAGAGGGAGGGGCCGGACCATGGTCACTGCCCCCTCTAGACCCTGCCAGAGGGCCACGGTTGCCCCGACCCTGCAGAAGGGGAAGGGAGGCTCGTGGGAGGCGTGACGTGTCGGGGGGCACACAGTTCTGAGTGGGCAGAGCCGGGATGGCACAGGGGGGTGACAGACTCCTCGCCATTGGCCTTGAGGAGGGGGCTGGGGTGGGGCTGATCCAGCTGCTGCCTGGGCCCAGGAGTAGACAGGGTGCCCTTCACCCCTCCTACGGGAGCAGCCTGGGTCAGACACCCAGGTTCTGCCCCTCAAGGTCATGGCCAAGGCCAGAGCTGGGGCTCCTGGGGCCTTCCCCCAGGTATTGAGAGAGAAGGGAGGAAGAGGGCTACGGGACGTGCTCGGGAGCCGCCGGACGTGGGGAGGTCGCCCGCGCCCGGCTGCACCGGGGCTCCAGAACCGGTGATGTCTGCAGTGGCACCTCATGGTCATAGGCCCGGCCGGCACAGTCTGTGGGGTGAGGCCTCCCCTTGAGGCTCCAACAGGAGGTGAGGGCCAAGCCTCCTGCCTTCTCCATGCCCCAGTGAGGAGAGCTCGTTAAGCTGTTTTAAAATTAATCCTGCTTTTAAATCTGTGCCCAGTTTGTCCCCCGACCTTGAAAACACACAGTACAGCCGTGACTCTTATGTTGGAGCGTGACAGCCCCTCCTTCTGGTCCCGTCAGGAGCGGTTATGACCTTGGAGGTCCATCCTCCACACAACCACCCCAACCAGCTTTTAGAACACTCCCTGGCCCCAGCCCCTGCTGAAACGCTCCGGGCCTCCTCCCCCTCAGGGGAGCCTGGACTCCGCCGCCCACCTTGAAGGGCCCTGGCTAATTTCTCTGCCGCCTCCGTGGCCAATGGGGGTCACCTTCTCACCTCCCCCGTCCTGTCAGGACACTTGGTGGCTTCTTAGATGTGGTGGGCGTTCCTGATTTCGGGGCGCCTTGTGCTATTTCCTCGGCCTGGAACTGCCCGCCCCCCCCATGTCTGCCTGGCAGAGTCAGACTCATCCTTCAAGCTTTAGCTGAGACGTCTCCCTTCCCCAGACCGCCCCGCCCTGGGCCTCCCCCTCACGGCCCGGAGCTCACGCATCAGCAATGTGGCGCAGCCCCAGGACATGCTGGCTGAGGAGAGCATCTGGGGAGAGGGGCCTGCCCAGCAGACCATTCCTGGCTGTTAGTGCCATGGGCGCCTGGTGGGGACGGGCCTGGGGGCCCCTCTACCTCTCGGGGTGTGTCTCTTCCCCCCCCACCAGGACACACAGGGCCCAGATGGCTGCCTGGCCTACCTGGGGCCACCCAGCCCCAAGGGCTCCGACCCCCCAGGCCGAGCAGAGCCCTCAAGCTGAGTCGGGCCAGCCCTCCTTGTGAAGGGGAGATGCAGGCTGGAGGGGGCCCCAGCCTGCTGCTTGTGTGTCCCCTGCCCCCCACCCCGGCAGACTGACCCTGAGGGTCCTGCTGGAGCGGGCAGTGCTGGGAGCTGGGGGCCGGCCTCAGACCAGCAGGCTAATCCCCGGCCAGGCCAGGGCTCATCCCGCTTTCCATTGTTGGCGCTTCAGATTGTGACTTTATCCATCTTAATCTCCCCTCTGTACCCTCCCCGGGCCGGGCGCTCCTGTTCAGCCCAGGCGCCTCCCTGAGACTCTCTCCTCCTAACTGGGCCCAGGGCAGAGGACAGCAAGAGAGGAGAGCTGCCCCTGTCCCCGTGCCAGGCACACCGGGCGCCCGCGTCCCCGTCTGCTCTGTGCGGACTGGAGGGGCCTGCGGGCCTGGGGAACATGCCCTTCTCCTGGCGGAAGCCCTCGGCCGCCCGGGCGTCTGCCCAGAGTCCCGGAGGCAGGACGGGGCTCCCCGATGGGTCACACCCTCTCTGTGGAGCAGCAGGGCACCCTGGTCCCGCGGGGAGCCCAGGCTTGGAGGGCAGCCGGGGCATCCCTTCCAGCAGCCGCGGGGCCTCCCACCTCACTCCCACCCTTCTCTGCGGCTGCTGGAGTTTCTGACGTCTCCCCGACGCCGTAAATCACAGTGGGAGCCGCTCTCTGTGCATTCTGGCAGGCAGCAGACAGCCGAGCAGGGATTCCCCTGTCCTCACGCCTCGGGAGGTCCCGAGGCCGCCTGAAGCCCTCGCTGTGGGTCTGGGTCTGAGGCGGGTCAGGCCAGAGAGGGGCCCCAAGCCTCCAGACCTCCTGCAGATAGCTGGCCATGGCTGGCCCCGGGGCTGCCGCCAGCCCCCAGGACCTTGCCCACACTGAATGCGGGGCCTGGGGGTGAGGGGGTTGAGGGGAGGGCTGGGCAGGCTGAAGCGCGAGCAGCAGCCTGTGTGGGGCTCAAGTCCAGGAGGATCAAGCGGCTGTGGAGGTAGCGGGTGGGGCAGGCTCCCTGAGGACAGGGCCGCCCCAGGCTGCGCACAGCGGGGGTGCGTGCTTCACACAGGCCCCGGTCCCCAGGAGGCGGCTCCCAGGATGGTGGACCTCAAGGGGGAGGAGAGTGAATAGAGTTCTAGAGAAATGAGGCTTTATAAAAAAAAAAAAATTTAGACAATATTTTTTTTTTCTGATTTCAAAGGCGTGCATGCTTGTAAAACTTTTCTTGAAAAGTATAAAAGAAGTAGAAAAAAAAAATCACCCATAATTGCACCACTCAGATAGAACCACTGTTAACATTTTGCTGTGTCTTCCAGGTTTTTTTTCTTTTTATGCATTTATATATGTTATATATCTTTAAACAAAAATAGTATCATGCTATATACATTATTTTATAAGCTGCTTTTTCTACCCTCCTCACACAGCATGTCATGACACCTTTCCTCATCAGTGCATATAAGTCGGCCCCTGTTCTCACACAGGTTGCATAGCATTCTCTGCTGTGAACGTGCATATATATTTATCCATTTACCCCTCCCCCACAGGTGGACTCCTTAGGTTCCTCCCATCTCTCATAGCTGTCTCTGCCCCCAACCCCCACTATTTCCTTGGGCACATTCCTAGAGGGGCAGCTCAAAGAGCCTGCGTGTTTCTGAGGCTCTGCCTTCCTGAACTGGTGATTCAGGCAGCGCCCTCCCACCCCACAGCTGGGGTGCTGGGGAGGGTGAGCTGGGCAGGGGGGTAGTGCCCTAGCCTGGGCCGCAGCGCCCCACTCTTAATTCTCCGTCTTTCCCTCTGGGTCTAGGGCTGAGCCCGTGAGAGCCACCGTGTTCCAGTACCCCGTGGGCTGGCCGCCAGTCCAGGAGCTGCCTCCGTCCCTGCGGGCACCCCCGCCTGGGGGGTGGCCCCTTCAGCCCAGCGTCCACTGGGGCTGAGCCCCTCCTCCCTGCCTGGCGAGCTCGTGAGTCAGCCACAACCAAGAGAAGGGCTCCTACGGCGGACACCGAGGCCCCCTCCCGCTGCGCCCCATGGAGCGTGGGAAACTCAAGCCTGGGCCCCTCTGAGACCTGAGCGCCCCCCCACCCCTGCCAGGTGCAGCCCTGGTCCTGACTGGGTACCAGGCCGCTCCATGCCCACCCCCTCAGCGGACATTTCAGAGGACTTCCTTCCTGATGTTTATAAAGAGTCTGTCACCACAGTGGCGTGGCTGCCCTTGCCCCTCGCCTGGCGCCCTCTGCTCCGTGCTCTGGCCCTGGGTCGGGAGATGGGCGAGGTGAGGTCCTCTCCGGCCTGACCAGTGCTCGCTGACCTTCTCTCCCTGGGGGGCGGTGGAGGCTCAGCGCGGCTGGGCAGGACTGGTCCAGACCAGGCGTGGCTCCGAATCTGGGGAGGGGAGCTGAGGACCGGGTCTGCTGTCCCGGCCCCCACATCCACCCGTGCCAACCACGAGGTGGCACAGCTCGGGCGGGGCTCGGAGCCGGGTCTCCGGCCTGGATGGTGTGGAGAAGTGGGCGACCCCCAGAGGGCGGGCCCTGGGCTGGGGTGAGCAGCCTGGCTGAGCGTCCCAGCACCGACATCAGGGGGGCTCCCACCCTGGAGGAGCCAGCCCCCTGATGGGTGGGGAGACCACACAGGCGGCCCGGGGGACCCACAGCACAGCCTGCACTCCAGGTCGAGATGCTGTGCTGGGTGCTGGCGGGCAATGAGGCCCCCTGGTCACTGGGCCTCTGGTGGGGGCGCCCAATGGGTGGGGTGGCTACCGGGCTCCATCTTTCCTGAGCTTCTGCCCTTCCTGAAAATCACCATTGATGGGGGGAGCTGAGGCCAATTCTGGGAGCCCTCTGGACCTCAGACTCCTCCTCTCTGAAATGGGCTGATTCTCTAGTGTGAGGACGAAGGCTGGCTTGAGTCTAGGGAAGGTCACAGGGAGGAAATCAGCAGAGGGCGGGCTTGCTCAGGGCCCAGGAGACCCCGACCTCGTCCCACTCCAGGAGGTGCTCGTCCCACGGCCCCGGGCACCCCTCAGGCACCAGGCTGGGCACACGGTGCCTCCTCCTGCCTCCGGGAGCCCAGCAGCTCCCAGGCCCTGCACAGATTCCTCCTGTTAACGTCCCGGAGCCCCCCACCGCCCCGGACAGCGGGAAGAGTTGGTGTTACGGGACAGCAGGCCAGGGTGGGGCACGCAGGGTGCAGGTGGGGCCGGGCCCTCCAAGGCGGGGCCACGGCCCATGCAAGGCCCTGAAGGACACGCGGGGGTGGCCCAGGGGCAGCGGCGGGGGTGGGCGGCGGGCGTAGGCAGGGCGGTGAGGGGCGGCCCCCGGCCCTGCGCACCAGGCGCCTATTTCATGCCGCTGCGCAGCACCTGGTTGGCCGCGATGAGCATGACGCTGATGATGAAGGCGATGGCGAAGGCGCAGATGAGGCTCTTCCGCACGCACGTCTGGCGGATTTGCTGGTTGGAGCAGGCTGCGGCCGCCGCCACCGGGAAGCAGCAGAGAGACAGAAGGGACAGCCAAGCGATGGACTCAGGGGCCGCCTGCCCTTCCGCACGGGGCGCGTGGAGGTGCGGCGTCTGGGGTGGACGAGGAGGGCCCCCAGCGCTCCCCTCCCCCAGCCCGGGTTCCTCCGCTGCCCCGCCCGGGGTCCCCGGGGGCCACTCACTCTCCACATCCACGGGGCACTCCTCCGCCGTGCCCAGGTGGCTCTCCTCCTCCGTCATGATGATGTTCTCGATGTCCTTCATGGACAGGTGCTCACAGAAGGTGTCGTAGAGCAGTCGCTTCAGCTCGTCCACGGTCAGCTTCTGCATGTCGCACTTGGGTGCGGGGCAGACACGGTGCTCTGGCCACGGCCACCACAGCCCCCAACACCAACCGTCCCCACCCAGCCCCTGCGGCCACACAAGCCGGCGACGAGCCTCCAGGTCCCGGAGGGCTGGGAACCGCTCACCCCTCTCCTTAAGTCCTCAACCCAGTGGCCTCCCCAGGGAAGCCCTTGGCCCAGGGGACAAGCCTGGAGGCGTCACTGCCCCCACTCTACAGCGTGGGCCCGACCCTTCGATGGCCCCAGTACAGCCCTCCAGTCACCCAGGGCGTACCTTCCAGAAGACGGTGTCAAAGTCAGTGCCGTGGAACTTCTCCGGGATCCCCGAGGTGGAAAGCTTGGGTCCCAGGAGGGTTACAAACTCCTCAAAGTCCACCTGGCCGTCACCTGGAGTGGGCAGGGTCCCAGTCAGCTGGGAGGCCGCACAGGGCGCCGCGGGCCACGTGGGGACCCAGGGAGCCCCTCCTCGGAGCCTCCCGCGCCAGGCTCCAGGCCGACGCTAAAGCCACCAAGTGTGCGGAGGCCCCGCCTGACAGGTGTGTGTGGGGGCTGCGGTGCGGCAGGCGGGCCCTGACTGGCCTCGCCCGTGGGAGACGTGTTTCACCCCGAACGCTGCTGCCCGGAGCAGGTGTAGGGCCGACATCCGCCCCCCAACACACAGGAAACGAAGCTCAGGATGGGGGACCACCCACCCAGGTGGGCAGGTGCCGTCCCTGTGGAGAGGGGGCGTGGGAGGGGCCAGAGGAGACTGGGAGGAGAGGACTGGGCCTTCCTGGTGCTTACGAGTTTTTCCTTCATTGAAAGCCAGATGGCAAATACAACTAATGATGGTTTTTTTTTTTGGTGATGGGAACTGGCATATTAATATATTGTTTAGTCGCTCAGTCGTGTCCAATTCTTTGCAGTCCCATGGACTGTAGCCCACCAGGCTCCACTGTCCATGGGGTTTCCCAGGCAAGAATACCAGAGTGGGTTACTATTACCTTCTCCAGGGGATCTTCCCAACCCAGGGATCGAACCCCCATCTCCTGCCTTGTAGGCGGATTCTTTACCACCGAGCCACCAGGGAAGCCCATTTAGTAGATATTCTTTTCTGTACTTTAAAATTTTCGTGGAGACTTCCCAGTGGTTAGGACTCCTTGCTTCCACTGTAGGGGGGATGGGTTGAACCCCTAGTTGGGGAACTAAGATCCCACAAGCTACAACACGGTCAAAAAAAGAAAAAATTCTTGGAATACAGAGGTACAGAGTCTCCAACTTCTTGGGTATAGCTGGGGCTGTCACACTCTGTCTGGCCTCAGCCGTCCAGCTGAGAAATGGGGCCAGACCCGGCTGCAAACTGCCATTGGCTTGGGGCTGACCGGCAGTGGTGAGAGTGAAAGGACTCCTGTGGGCTCAGTCCTGGGGGCTCAGGGTCCAGACTCGGCTCCCCGGTGTCCCCCCAGGTGAGGGCTGAGGAAACAGACAGGGGCGTGGCTCACCGTCCATGTCCAGCCTCTGGATGATGACCTCCAGCTCCACCTCGTTGGGCATGTAGCCCAGGGAGCGCATGGCCGTGCCCAGCTCCTGCTTGGAGATGAAACCATTGCCATCGCGGTCGAAGACTTTGAAGGCCTCTCGGATCTCTGGGGGAGGCGCAGAGCCGGTCAGGACCTCACCGCTGTCCCCGACAGCCCCCTCCCCAGGCCCCCGGCATCCCAGACCCCTCCACCTGAGCCTGGGATGGAGACCGCCCCCACCACCCTGACCCTCACCACCCTTTGGAGACCCTGCAGGTCTGGTCAGAGACAGTCGGTGGGTGGCCCGAGTCCACTACAGCGCTGCCTCCCTGGAGCTCGGGGCAGGCCAAGCTCACAGCCGTGGAGCCGGGGCGGCAGCAGTGATGAGACTGCCCCAGGGTCTTGGGCTCCGCGTGCCAGGCTCCCACAGCCTCTCCAGGCGTGCTCACAACGACCCCGTGTGGCCGGCACCACGGAGCCCGCTGTGCAGGGGAGGACTCGGGCGGGGAGCCGGTCCTCCGGGAGCTGCCAAAGGCTTCCCGCCCACCCCCGCTCCTCCCGTCAGGGAAGACAGGCTGGATGGAGGCGCCTCCGCAGGCCCAGGCCAGCTGCGGTGTGGGGGTCACTCCCCCCGACCACCACATCGTATGGAGGGGGAGACAGCCCCGAGGAACCTGGGTGACTCAGGGGTGGAGAGCAAGGCACGGGGCCGGGAGCCTGAGAAGCAACCCGAGGTGCGACCTTGGGCCAGCCTCAGTCTTACCCACAGTAAAATGGGCAGTCGTGGTGTGAGGTTTTACCAAAGATATCCAGGAACGGTTGAAGGTCGAAGGGTTCTAAACTGCCCCCGTTCGCTTCTCCACCTCTGTCTCTGGGCTTGCTGTCCCTCAGACAGCCCCAGAGGGGTCCTACAGAGCACCTCCCGTTGAGTGGAGGGTCTCTCAGTCCACTCTCACCCCCCTCTGCTTAAGTTCCGGGGGTCTCCTTGTTCAGTCTGCAGGTGGAGGGGAGCTCATGCGTGCAGGTGTATTTGGAAGGAGAGGTGTGCTGCACACCTGGAAAGTGAGGTCTAGGAGGCTAGGTGGCCACTGTGGGGGTCTGTGAGCCTCTGAGACTGACCGTGGGATCCTGCACCTTGCGGTCAGTCCCTGATCCTGCTGGACCCACTAGAGCCCAGAGAGGGTGGCCTTGTGTCCCAAGCCACATAGCAAGGCGGCTGCGGCCAAAGCCCCAGACTTCATCAGGTTCATCCCACCTGGCATCTGCACCCAAGGCCTGAAGGTTCCAGCTGCCACGCAGGCCAGGCAAGTGTCCACAGACCTCACCTGAGCTGCCTAGGCCCCCAGACCCTCTGACTCTGGACTGCCACCCCCCCAATCCTAGGTACGGCCTGAGAAACCAGTCTCCTAACCAGTGGCCCCTTGGCCAGAGGAGCAGCTTGGAAGGGAGAGCTGGGCCAGGCCAGGAACTCCTGTAAACCCTGGACTCGGGGAACTCCAGGCCAACGCCCACTTAGAATTTCCCTGGGCCATCGAGAAGGTCGCAAGCCCCCCACCCCCAGAGGTGTGTGAGCAGAGGACCAGCAGTTCCAGAGCTGCTGCAGGGGTTCCAGTCCCCTGGGAGTCCTGGGTAAGAGAGGAAGACACTGATTGCAGGAAGACACTGATTGCAGCCAGGCATTGTGTGCCCGACCCTACACACACACACACACACACACACACACACACACACACACACTCACTTAGGTTTTTGGCTGGCTCTGTTGGCCTCCTGACCCAGCCCAGGCTCTGCCCACCTTACGTGTCCTGAACTCCAGCCCTAGGGGCCCTTTCAGTCTAGGTGGGCACCAGGGCTGCTCCCCCTGCAGGCCTCTGAACGTGAGGTTCCTTTTGCCTGCAACGCTCGTCCCCTCTCCATGGCAAACTCTGATACATCCCTGGTTCCCAGCAAAGATGGACAGCATCACACAGACGGATGCCCCCGCACAGACCCCTTCCCCCGAGGATTCCTTCCTGACCACCCTGGACTGTGAACTATGAGATGCCATGAGCGCAGGGATGGGTGGGTCTTGTTCACCGCTGTGTCCCGTGACCTGGAAGGGTGCAGTCATCCAAACCGAGCCATTTGCTAATAAATGGTTAAATGAATGACTGATTCAGGGACCCCCTCCTATATCTGGAGCACACACAGAGGAGCTGAGCAGAAGTTCATGGTCCACGTGGTGTGGGGCCACCTCTCAGAACCCATTTACTCTTAGTTTACAAAGCATCCTAGTGAGGGCAGGTGTTAGCCAGATGCGGGGGGTAGGGGGAGGCTGGGGTGCCACCTGTCCTCGTGCAGCCGCGAAGGACCCCTGCCCCCCATGGGCCACCACAGAAGAGCAGGATCAAGCCAAAGTCAGGTGGAGGGAAATCACCCTCAGATGAACCATCCTCAGACGCCCAGGTCAGGGGCTGGTTTGGGGAAGTGGGAACCCAAGGAAGACACCCCATCTTTCTGGGTCTGCAGTTGGGAGATCTCACTGTGGGATGGCAAAACCGCAGCCTCATAGCACAGTGGTGCTGCAGTGGGTGCTGGCTCGCTCCCCTGACCTCCTCCTAAAAGTCCTGAGAAAATACACGCACAGGGGACAGAGCAGGTGAATCTTGGGGTACCCAGGCAGGCGACAGTCCCAGAGGCATCCCTTTCTCAGGCAGGACTAACCTCCCAAGACCGCTGGGTCAGTCCAAAAGCCGCCGCCTCCCCTTCCACGTGTCCCCTTAGCCACCCCTCCCTGGCACGCTCCCTCACGCCTCTGTCTTGCTGTGACCTCAGCCTTGCTCAGAGCCACGACCCAGCCCCTGCTGATTCCCCGAGGCCAAGTTCCGGGATCACCTTCTCAGCCAGAGAATCAGCACTAAGTCACACAGACCTGGGTCAGATCCCAGCTCTCCTACGTCCTGGCCAGGTGCCCTCGGGTGGGTGTTTGCTCACCTGTACAATGGGGCTGCGGAAACAAATAAATCGGAAAATCAAGCATGTGAGAGCTCGGCTGGGCCGGGCCTGGCTCAGAGCAGGATGCTATAAATCAGAACATCCCAGATGTTCCAGCAGAGCCGGAAGGAGAAGGGAGGTCTCAAGGAGCTTCGGACACCAAGTCAGCCTTCCTGTTTGCTGGTACCAGGGCCTGGAGGCCTAGGGTTTGGAGTCTGGCCTTGCTGCTCAGCAGCCAAGAGACCTGGACACAGCACCTCCCTCTCTGAACCTTCACAGACTCATTTGTGAGCTGAGAATGTGACTCTTGCCCCATCCTGGAGACCTGGACGCTGCTGGGGGCTCCCAGAGCAGGGTGGGCATCACGGCTTGCCTGTTGCTGCTGCTGCCATTGACACAGTCCAGCTGGGCGCGTTTCTCCGAAAGCCTCACTCTGTTCCTGCCCCAGGAGGCTGGGGGAAGCCTGCCGCGCTCCATCTTGGCATGGGGACGCCTGGCCCGGGCAAGGGCTGGCAGGGCCTCTGAGTTTCCAGGCCGACACGGGTCCCTTCCTGCTGCCTCCAGCCTCTGCCCTCAATCCCTCCCCTGGCCCGGGGAGCTGCATCAGGGCCAGACTCCCCAACCAGCCCCACGGGAGCCGGAGCCCAGAGAAGGGGTGTGTGGGCTGGAGGTCACTTTCAGGGGGCAGAGTGTGTCCTCTGCGGTGACGGCTCCTCTCCGCGGCATTGGCCCTGCGCCCCAGCACTTTGGCCTCCCTGAGTTTCTGGCCTGTGCAGAGGTGGCTGCTGGGCTTGCGGGAAAGAGGGGCAGGAAAGGGGACCCCTCTGTACCTGGAATGCCCCATTTGGCCATGCAGTGCAGACTCCACTGACTGTCTGAGCAGGTCAAGTGCCCAGCCCAGACCCCTGTCCTGGTGGGTGGCTGCCTGTCCATCTGTCTCCCTCCTCCTCTCTCTGAGGGAGGGCCTGCTGCTCCCCAGCTCCCACCCTCAGGTGCTCAAGTCCGTCGATGCCACTGGGGTCAGCCTCAGCGCTGCCACAGGCCTGGCAGGTGGAGGGCCGTGCAGTGTGCATCTTGGGGAGAATCTGGGGGATTCTGTCCTCCGCTTGAGGAGGGCCAGGGACCCAGGCCAGCTCTGCCCAGCCACGTCTACCCACCCAGGGGTCCTCAAGTGCGTCCACAGACCTTCAAGGACCTTTCCACCCGCCCCTTCCCCGAGCCTGCCTTTCTGGCCCGGTCCCCCGCGTACCGCGTGTTCCTTCCTCTTGGGCTTTCCCCGATTCCCTCTCCCCGTTCCTTAGCCTCCCCACTGCTGCCCTGGTCTCCGAGCCCCCACTGAACCCTGTGCCAGCCCCTCCTGTGCTGAGCATTTCCATCACGTCCTCTGTCACTTGCGGCCCTGGGGACGGGCAAGGCAACCCCTTTTTACAGATGGAGAAACTGAGGCAAGAGAAGCAAGTGGTTGCCTGAGGTCACTCCATAAATTGAGGGAGCAGAGATTTGAACCCCTCACTGCTTGGCTAGGAAGCCCTCACCGCAAGCCAGCGCTCTCCACCTCCCTCCCCCGTCCTAACCGCCCCCTGGATCTCTGGAGGCAGGCGTGTACTGGCTGCAGCGTCTCGTCCCGAGCTGCTGGGCTCGCTGTCCTTGGCACAGGCGGCTCGCCCACCAGCGGGCGTCCCCCAGCCGAGGGCCTGGGTGGGACAGGAGCACTGGCGGGCCACTGAGGAGGTGGACGGGGCAGAGGGGGACTCTGTGCCATGGATGGTCGCCCGTCCCACCCAGCCCTTGGCATCCAAGGACCACTGGGGCCTGCAGAGACCTGGTCTCCTCGGAGGAGGGCTTCCAGAGTGCCTGCAGCCAAGAAGGGGGTCGATCACAGAGGACTTTCTGCTCTCATCCTTGGCTGCCCACAGGCTGCCCCGGACGGGCGGGGACCGCCAAGCATCTACAGGCATCATCTGCCTCCCCCTCCCTCCCAGGGAGAGCCTGCCCTTCAGATGTCCCCTGTGCCAGGGCCCCCTGCTCCACAGGGCCCGGGAGAAGGGGACGGGCGAGAAGCAGGCAGTGCGTTTGGTGTGGCTGGTGACTAACACTCCTGGGCTCCTGCCAGCATGTCCGCCATGCGGTCCAAGGGGAGCCTGCGGGCTCCTTACCCCTGCACTGCCCGCCCTGTGCCCTGCTCACCCCTGCATCCCAGCCTCCTCCCACCTCTCCCCTTCCTTGGGCTCCGTACTCCAGGGCTGGGAGATCAGGAGAAGAGGGACCAGTGAGGCCCCAGCAAGGCTGCCAGGGGCATGGTGGGATGCTGGGAGCAAGAGCAGAGAATGAGATGAAAGCTGCCTGGGATGCGGGGGGGACAAAGTGTACCTCTGTCCGACTGGCCAGAAGGGACGGACGAGGGCCTGTGGAGGGGGGAACTCTAAGAGGTTTGGAGTGCCCGGGCAGGAGAAGACAGTGTTAGGGCAGAGACGGCTAATGCCCCATCCCCTGCCCTCTTGCCCCTCACTGTACCCCCTCCTTTTCCTAGGCCCTGGATGAGACTGGTTCCTGGGCTTCGGCCCAGACAGGACACAGACTTGGGCTTTGGAGTTCAAGGCCAGAGACCCGGTAGCGGTACCCATCCATCTGTCCTGCCCGCATCAGACACCAGACCCCATTTCCACAGCTTCCCAACCTCTGGCGGCTTTCGGGGGGACGTGGTGAGAAGCAGGTGGCTCATGGTGGTGCAGTGCGGGCTTGGGGGTGGGGGTGCCTTCTCCCCTTGATCTTCCCCCCTGATCCCCTCTGACTCCCTCAAGATCTGCTCCCTCCAGGGCTTGGGGGTATGGCTGGGCCTCTCTCCGTGGCCTGTGCTCCCACCATCACCCCTGACTTCACTGGTATCTCAGCTGTACCCCGCAAAGGCCCTGTTGAACCCCAGATCTCAGAGACCCTTGGCCCTAAGGTACCTGAAGAGAGGCCCAGCCTCTGGGTGATCACAGGCCCTCCCCCAACAGCAGACAAGCAGATACCATGGGGCCAAGACCCCCATCAGCCCAGAGCCCCTCACTCCACTGCCAGCCGCCCCCAGGAGGCCTTGGGGGAGGGGAAACCTGAGCCCCTGCCCCCAGTCCTGTAGAGAAATAGCTGCAGGCCCCAGGGGTCTCACAGCTGCCCAGAATCCTCAGTCTGAGGACGCGGGGCTCTGCCATCTGCTCTGATCCTGCCCAGCCCACTGCCCAA